AGTTTCTTTCTTCAGGGCAGACTATCCTGTCTTTTAATATAACAATGCATTTTGGATTCTTTACAGTTATTTCTGAGTATCGGCCAATAAAAAGACTAATTATTATGTGTATGTTTCGGCATTCAATAATTATGCGGAATTCAATAATTTTATAAAAAAAAATTAATACACTACACTACACTACATACATTGTAAATTACCTGAGAACTTAATCCACAGTAATATCATTTACGAACTATTTGAAAACTTCTACGTTCTTTACGAAAGTATTTTGATAAATATAACTAATTTATATTCTGTTTGTATATAAATGCTTGCAATTTACTAAACTGCTAAATTTTTAATTTCCACGAAATCGTTTCTTACATTTTGGAGTCATAATCAACCACACATTACGCAACGTAATAATGACGTCAAGAATAAAATAAAGTAATTTATATGAATGTAAAATAGCTTCATTTTATACACAAGTTGATTTTGCAGTTAATTTAAATTCAAACTACAAAGTGGTTGTTAGCACAGCGTCTTTGGATGTTGCAGTTGTATTTCTAGTTTGTTATTATGTTTTATTAATCCAACTAAATATGAATAACACTAACCGACAGTTATTAAAGCATGACGATTTCTTTTATTTGCTCGCATAAATAAAAAAAATAAAAAAATAAAAAAAAAATATAAAAAATAAATAAAACGATAATATGAAAATTACGGATATTCATATCATGATGATGGGTGCGGTACAGTACGTGAAATGTAGGGAGCTTACATTTTGAACTCGATAAGATCATGCAAGTAGTATTTAATATGTTACAGGGATCTTTCATGTGAAAATTTGCCGAGCGGGCAGGTGGTTCACATGATGTTAAGTCTTACCGCCGCAGCTAGACATCTACAACAGCTGTGTTCTTGCAAAACGCATTGACAACGTTTAAAAAAACTCGACCTTATACTAGCATTTTGTTTTACTACATTAAATATACTAAGGAGATCATTAATTTAGTTTATTGCATTTTAGAGTTTCCTAACCTAGGATAGTAAGTAAACGTGACATACTATCCTAGGGAAGGACGTACAAAAGTACCGTAAAGTAGCAAATAAGAAGTTTATTTACTCCACGAGCATCGTTAGGTCCTAAAAATAAGTGAGACGAGACAATTAACTTTATGAGGACGTAATACAGCGACTGCTTTTTTTCTCGCTACGCGTTAGTCTACGGCCGTTCCGGTTCGTAAGCCAGCACGATGAACTTATATTATTAACGTTTCGGTTCAAGTTAGAAGAACTAGCGATTTTGAAACGACAATATCATAATGATTTCTTGCGTATGCGCTAATACTACACTTTGTTAATCAAAACTTGTTTAAAGATTTTATCGCGTTCGGTTTTGATTTTATTTTCCGACGTTACTTGGTTTAATGGTCACGCGACAGGTCCATTGACTCTGTATAGTGAAATCTCTGTAATCTGACTTCATCAAAATACTCTTATTTAACAAGCGATTCTTTCGAATATTATTATATATGTGTTCTAAAAAAATCATAAAAGTACCGACTGGATTAACTAATTGACACTGTAAAGGTCTAAATTAAATTATTTTAGAAGTGAAAATGGCGATTGGTAAATACTTGCTTGTACTTCGTTTCTTCACAAATTTAATTGAATCGTTGCAATTGAAATTAAATAATCAAATGAATGAAATGAAAATGATAAACACTGGCTCTTGTAACAAAAATTAAATATTTAAAATACTAAAATGAAAGCACTTAAAAATATTTTTTGTACCTAACTATTTTAAAGCAATCGAGCTTAATCACGACATATCTTCAGTCCCAATATTAGGTAGAAAAGAACAGTTTAGTTACAAGAACACAGAAGAAAAGTCTTCGACTTTTTATTGTAATGCTTAAAATCGCTTACGCCTAAGCGAAAACATCCGTCGACGAATCTCCTCACATCAACGATGACGCAATTGGGCCCCTCACAACTCTCATTGATGTGATGATTTTAACGCAAAAAAAAGTCTTGTCATAATAATCGAAACTTAGCCTGCTATTAGCAACTCCGATTTCAGATGTTAGAAGGAAATTTAAAACAGTTATTATATCTCAGCCACTGGTTTAGAAAGAGTTTTGCGCATACGCATTTCTTATACGCTATTTCTTATGTTATATATTAATCATATTTTGACAAAGAAAAAAATTCAAATCTTTTTTTTTTTAAATTAGTAGTAGTTGTCGTCAAAACTCTGAATAGAACATACCACTGTGAATTCTCAATCAGTATAATTTTTTTTTCACAAATAACCTTTTAATAGTTTTGTAGTTTAAACTCGTCCAAATTTAAACACGTTTAAGGGATTTTTGAAGCGTAAAGTTCCATAAGCACGTTGGACAATATATTTGGATGCTATTCAAATTAATGTTTTGCGATTTTAATTTAGTTTAAAATAAAAAAAAAAGGAAGTTATTCCAGTTTTTACTTTTAACTTCTGACGGCCGTATCCATGACTGCTTATTTTTTCTTCAATATAAAGGGATTGAAACTTAGCAAGAGTATCACCTAATGATAAGTGCAGTGCGCCTATGGATTCGCTAGGCCAGATATTTTAAAATTTCGATTACTTCGCTAACCAGACGAAACGCAAAAGTATAAACACTTTTTGGGTCTTACGTGAGACCGTGGTCCGCCCTGGTCGAGCTAGCCCACTTGAGCTTAGAATTATATGTAACAGCTTATATGTAACAGAATCAATGTGCAATTGTAATTCATTGTTCTGGTTCTAGTAATAAGTCTTTCTAGAGTTCCTGTTAACTAACAAGTAAGCTAACCGCTTTGATACTCTCTATGCAGAGGAGGCCGTTGCCCAGCAGTGGGTCATTCGTACTGATTATATTCTTTCGAATATTGGACAGACACTCCAATCAAAAACGAACATGTAATACGAAGCTAAAATCATAACATCGAATTAATACACAATGGCGATTCCTCCGCCGGCACGGGCGCAATGAAATCTCGAGCGATTTATAGAATAAGTTAAACAATCGCAATTAATGTAGTAAAATACTCATTAGCAAATATAATTCGGACGTTATTAATTGGCTCCGGGGAAAATGTGGGCCTTAGGAGGGAAACTCGATCCGCGAAGTGTCTAACACGAACGAATTGCATTGCATCGCGTCACGCGAGGGACCGTTGTTTTTTTTGCGCTACTCCGATTGATCGTAGAATTGGAATTAACACATTAGATGTCTGTATGCAATTAATAGCATACTTGTGTGTTGAATACCGTTACGCGCGGTCGCGGCCCGTCGCGCGGCTTTCCAGCGAAGTTGCGGTGAAACTGATATAATGACCGCGCTGCGTTCGAGTAGCCGTGGTATTGTTGCTTCTATTGTAACATCGGAAATCGCGGAATGCGTGATTGTTCAACCGAAGACGTTTTGGCACTTTGCTCGTGTTATTAGTACTGCGCCTCCATCAGTGCACGAGTAGAAAGCGGCGAGATCGAGATAAACCTGGCGAAGTATATACTCGTAACATGATAATTTATTCATGTGCTATGATTTATAGACAAATTGGCAAATGAACTATAGCCAAGCAACGTTGGTTGTGTTTTCACTGCTAACCAGACACACGAATAAGTCCTAAATGCAAAAATTATAACGCGTCCAGTGGTTATAGATACCTACATAATATGACGACCGTTACTCCGTCGCGACTTTGAATACAACCAATGGACGTGACGGAAATTCAAATGATTTCATGCAAATTATCGATATCAATATCGGTCTGAGATCGGCGAACTTCAAAGTGATTCGGACGAAGCAAGCTAAAGTTTTACTGCTGTTTGACCGCGTAGCATATTATGATATTTTGAAACGATCTAAAAACTTTAGCGAGTCAAGTACGAGGTTGCGTATTTGAAAATTGATTATACACATAAATAAACAATCCATTTCCGTTTCATATCTTAACATTGTGCCCAATGTGAAAGATGAAACGGAAATGGATTTAAAATGTCTGATATTAAATCACAAAGTAAATTAGGGGCGTACTTACAGGGCCCGTCGGAGATATTGCTTTTGCGGCGGGGGCGAAATAAGATTTACGAATAAATAGGAATTAAAATAACATAAACACACTACCTTTGACGGTAGGTCTTAATGAGAAAAGTTCGATGGCACTCTCGTTTTGAGTTAAACTTGAATGTATTTTCACGGCACACCGTTATCAGGGAAATGAACGCGAAATGCCGACAAATTGTGAATAAAACTTATTTGTCGTCGTTTAAGACGGTCAGATTTTGATCTTTCATTACAACTCTTTGAATTACATTTGGTTATTTTATTAAAAGTTTCACGGGAGATCGCTTTGCGAGGTAAATCAATTTTTAGTATTCGATTGTCGAGGTATAAGCAGTAAAATCATTAGATTAAAATATGTGTACCTGTATATGAGATTTGGATTGTTTATTTTTAAATAATAATAAAATGAATCGAGTGAAAGGTAAGAGGTTTGAAAACTTTCCTCAGTTAATAATAAGCGACAAAGTGCGTATCGATTTTAAAATTAACCATTTTTCAAGAGAAGAATTACTAATTAAAATAGGATTTATACGTATCCAATTTATCTCTTTTATGATTTTAATTTTATTCACGTGACTAATACGAAAAAAAAATATTTGACAAGTAAGAAAAAGTTGGAAGCGGATTTTAATAACGTAACTGTACTTAATACTCACACGATTAAAATATTAGAAGTTAAAGTTAGCCGTTAGTACACTGAACTTATACGTGCGAAGTTTAAACTAGTATAGTTTCGTACGACCAAAGTTAACCGGAGCGAAGACAGTTTGGAGCGGAGAATACGCGAACGCGTCTATTAGTGCTGTTTGTTTATTTTGCTCATGTATTAGACGCGACAGGCGTTCCGCACTTTGAGTGTGGAAGCAGCGATTTCATCTCAGTGCATTAGTCTCACGGCCGAGAGAGTTCCTATCAGATACGTTTGTTTGCAGCCCGAGCGGCGAGCGCTCTCTCCGAGACGTGTTGTCGGCCGAGCGGCAAGCGCGCCGAAAGGCGGGAAACGCACCGTTTCGCACTTACCATGTTAGAGAGCACCAGACGCTGGTGTTTAGCGACTTGGGGGTCTAGGGCTTGGAGTGGGAAGGCGAAGGGCAGCGGGAGTGGCAGCGGCAACGTGTGGGGGTGCGGGTGCGGTGCCGGCTGCAATATCAGCGGCGGGCAGCAGGCGCACGGCGTCACGTAGGGCACGCACCCGAGCTGCGGCGGGAACAGCGTGGCGGCGGCCTCCTGGAGGCCCTGCGAGCGTCTCTCACGACCGCATCAGCGGCCGTACGCCGGACAATCGACGGCCGATCGCCGCCGACCACGCACCGGTGGCGATGGACCTCCGCGTCGGCCGTGGGACGGGCCGCGTGCGACTCGGCACTCGGGCGAGTGTTTGGGGGCGGCGAGTTGGGGGGCGCGGGGGAGGTGCGGACGCTGTTAGCGGTCGGACGAGGCGGGAGACGTCGCGCTGGGCTCGCGTGAGTGCGGTGAGTGGCGTGCGCGGGGCACAAGTCGCCGGGCCGGCGTTTGGCGGTGGACTGAGCGGCGAGGCAGGTGCGCGAGGCGCGCGGCGGCGATGGGGGCGGGCCCACCTGACTCACCTGGGCGCCTGCGCCGCGCTCGCTCAGCCTCCGAGCGCTCTGCACCACCTCAACGCGATTTGCAGCCCGCTGCACGGCCGACGGCAACCCGTACATATGGCCCTTGTATCGTCGATACAAATACAGTTATATATATCATTTTAAATGATATTAATTTTCATAGTGCAAATCACCGCACTTAAGATGTGATTCAGAATGTGTCGAAAAATTGACGAAGAGGTTTTCGCCGCTGCGAAGATAATGAGCCCGGCGGACACAGTTTCATATCCGCGAAATGGTAAAAATTTTAGTCATATCCTATTCGAAAATATTTGTTTGATGTTTTGCGCTTCTAATTCGCAGACAGGATTAAACAATATCCTAGCGATATCGACTCTACGCATTCTTAAAACGAAATGAGTTATGTAGAAGTAAAAATTTCGCATTTATAAAACTAAAAGTGCATGGGTAAAAATTTATTCATACCCGTAATAACATTTTCTCGGACGCAAATTATACCCTAGTAGCTGCGGAAAATTAGTAATTTTTGTTATTAATCTGGCTTAGAACATTTCAATTTTCATTATGCTAGTGACAGGCCATTAGAGATAAGACGACTGTTGTACGAAATCCAAAATTGTTTCACGCAAAAGGCCGACGCCGCAATGAGATTTCCGAAACAAATTTAACTTCGGCAAATCCGAAGAATTGTGTCAGTGATGTCAAAGTCTTTGTAAGTACACAATTCGTTACGGTCCCCCAATCACCCGAACTGCAGCTCCCTACGTCAAGCGTCCGCGCCCCTCGGAAAAGTCTAATACAAAAGCACGTCTGCTATACAAGTATACAGAGCACTCAGCAAAATGTTTTATCATAACACGCAATTACGAACTAAGCGCACAAATATACTTTTTTGATCTAGTCAGCAAGCGGCCCTTTGTGCAGAAGTTCGCGTTCAAAGCCTCTGTAAGGGCATCGCATTAAAATAACAGAATGCTAAGATAAAGCGTTCAGTCAGTACTAACAAGTCGTCCACAAAGGCCTTCCCGGGATTATTTCGCTTAAACCCACCCCCCAGGGGTCTCTAAAAATTGTATTGATCTGGATGATTGAGCTCGTCGTTAGAAGACATCACAGGGCGCTCTTTAAGCTCGTTGTCCGCTTACGGGCATTAGGTGCCTTTTAACGTGGACTATTTACATTCGCGCGGATCTTTCCAGAACTCCCTGTGGCAGATTACACACGTCTCGTTACGTGCTGGCTAACAACAAAGTGGAATTAAATCCCGAGCACAGATAAAAAATAATATAAACTTAAGTGCTAACGTCTTGCGACAAATAAGTTGCCAAATTACTCATATCAACTTATAAGAATTTTCATTTAATTTCGTAAATTATAAATTGATATTAAATGTTCAAAAAGCTAATATCAATAAAGTTTATTAAAATCATAGAATTTTATTTAGATTGTGTACTGTACGTACTAAAATTCATATACCTAAGTACCTACATACTCGGACAAATTACCTGTCAACATTACGTTATTTGTTTATATTTACCTACCACCACATCGTCGGTTAGAAAAGGGCTAAGTAAATTTAAGTAAATTTAAGAGCAAGAACCGACCCCTCAAAAGTTAATTCTAATTTTTCACTTGAAGTTATATGTAAAATTCATGTTAAATACAATATCATAATTTAATGAAGTTGAAAATAATTTGATATCAATTATTATACTTATATTTTATATGTATTTTTAGTTCATATTTTGAATTTATTTCCTTTCTATAAGATATTGTAAGTATTGCATCCCCTGTTGCACGTACCATTAGGTCTCGCTGGTTGGTACATGCCTTTGGGCATTAAAGGTTGGCAATAAAGTTTAAATAAACAACAGATTTTGACTTCGTTAAGTAAAAAGTAAAGTAACATGATATATAATTAGGTCCCACTGTTGGGCAAAGGCCTTCTCCGTACTCTGGCAGACTTCACATATCTTCGAAACACTTTTATTTAATTTTATTTTGAAAATATGCAGGTTTCCTCACGATGTTTCCCTTCACCGCTGATCATGTGATAATTCAGCACTTAAAATTGACAATTTCATTAGCGCCGGCACCGGGGATCGAACTCAGGTCGAACTCGAATATATGGAATTAAAAGCGAGCGCCCGGGCAAAGAGCCATTACGGCTTCGGTTATGATAATAATGTAAATATTAAAAAGGAAAAATTTTGTTGTGGTTTCACAACAAATTCTCATCAAAAATAGATATTATAGTCCTTCTGAACCCTTATTTACCTCACATAAAATAAGAATTAAAGTACGTAACTTCGACACTCTAAAAACGAGTACTCGACAAACATACATAAACATTACATATTATTGAAGGAGAAAAAAAGGTGAAATCTTTTAGCGACGTTCCTAATAACATTCACGTTCGCGTATCGAAAGCTTCCAGTAACTTACCGCCTTTGTACGAAAGAAAGACATAAGCCCCTCACATAAACAGAATAACAATAGACGCATGAAACGAGGCTAATATATAATTCATCAAACTCTTGCGTCATAACAAACCGGCGGCGTACATTCGTTGCTTGCGGGACCCCTAAGCCGCAGCGCTTACATTCGGCATTAGGCCTGACGATTAGCCCAACACAACAATCATCTCGAGTAATACCGACTATGTACACGTAACACTCACCGGCGGCATCCGCGTCTGTTTCCGATAGTATTAATTAATTCTTGTCATCGGTATGTACCATGTTAGGTAATTAGACTGTGCGGTAAACTGACACGATGTGTTTGAAGAGGCAACGATTCGCGGTGAAGAGCGCCCTTGTTTAATCTACAGTTACCTTTATGGGATTAACGCACAAGTAGTTTGAAGGACGATGTGTGTTTAGTATGTGTATGCTGGCTACATTTTTCCGCTACAAACAGCATCGTCAGGGCTTAAGAGTCCGCTGTCTAAGTCCGCGTAATATACAGGTTATACAGTACCCTATTGACTGCTTTAATAGGCTCACCTTACCATTCATCCGACCACGCGCCTAATTAAAAGCGGGTATACATACAGTTACTATATTTACATTATGTTGTAGTTCACATAAAACATGTATACCTATTTACGCTATTCAACTTTCCCATGTCTCGATAAATGGTGATTAATTTTCCCGGACTTCATTTATTTATAAGACTTACTATGAATCTAAACTCCTTCATATACTGCCACGAAGAAGACTGATTCTGACTGCGGCATAGATACTGTGGTAGGGCCATGCAATAGTCTTAGCTGTTGCAAGAATGGGCAGGTCCGTCCGGGAAAGTACCACGACCTCGCAGAAGAACGGCGTGAAGTGGATTGGATATTTCTGGTGAGTGAGATAGCCGGGGCCCACTTTATTAGAAGGTTAAAACACATCTGAAACCCTATGGGTTTTTCAAATGTCCATGGGCGACAGACAACGCTTAATATCGGGTGAACCACCAGCTCGCTTGCCACCTTCTCACATAAAAATAATCGAAAACATAACAAAAAATTGCTTAAAAGCCGTATGTTTGTTGGTTACCCTGATGTTAAACGATTACTGGTGCATTTACAATAAAATAGAGTGGGGCTTATCAGATGAAACGCGGACACAATTATTATTATACTCCCACATCGCTGGTTTCTATGAAGCTGTGGTACCTACTCCGCAGATCAGCCCACCCACTCGTGCAACCGTAGAAGCTGCCACACATCTTAGTATTTTTTTAGGTGAAAAATTGACAAACGATTAGGCGGATACTTAAGTACTTACCTAAGTAAGTATCTTAGTATTAATTGAAGTATATCGAGATAACATATTATGTAAAATTTGGTGTTTAATGTAACTCCAAATGTACATGCAATGCAAAGCTTGGTATACTTTCGTTTGGTAATGTAGAAATGCGGAATTGTTTCATCAAAACGTCAGTCATCTGATACAGCGTTGTGTACGAAATTTAATATTTGATAACAAAATAATCCATTCACCAGTAACGGTTAAATTAAAAGTAGCAAAACGATCGCTGGTAGTTAGAACATTTACTTTTCTGTAGGCTTAAACCGTACTGGATGTAAAGGCCCCTGCTTTACTGAGTTACTGAAACTATGAAGCAACACAAAAATCTACACCGTATTGAGTTCAAATGCATAGAATAATCGTAGTGGTAATTTAAATGTAAGAGTGAAAATGAAATAAAAGGAAACTGAAGAGGTAAGATCGCAAACTTATGAAAACCTAGCGGCTCGTTTTCTTTTTTAATTCTTCCGCTGCCCGTCGGGCCGGGGAAGCTCGGCGGGTTAATTTATCATTTGGTTATGCGATTTAATTATTTTAGTTTATTTTAAATTTTAATGAATATCTTTGTGAGTTGAACGAGTTTAATTGCTGTCCCATTTAAAAATACAAGATATTATTTAACGCGTTCTTTTGTTAAATTCCACGTTGATAATTTTGTGACATTGGTATGTTTCGTTGTATTCTATTGATCGTTAGTTTTAATTTTAAATTCGAAAAGAATTACCAACAAAAGAAGCTGCGAGGCTAATGAGTCGAAACTACAGCTAAGATTTTACGTTCTTTTTCAAAAGAAAAATAGTTATAGTAATTTACAAGTAAGATAGTTAGATAGATTTGATGACTGCGTGGCGTAGTTGCCTAGGTATTGGCTTCGGTGTTGGGGGTCGTGAGGACAACTATTTTTTTTTTGTTTTAATTTTAAGCCTTTAGTGTATGTATTAACAAAGGCCGACGCTAACGGTATACGTCTTGCCTTTGATAACTTGTGTTTGTGTTGTGTGTTGAGGGTGTTTTCTGGTTGAGGTGGTGTTTACCTAGTTTAGATTATAATAAATTGATGATTAAGTAGATATTGTTATGTATCGAATAGGTATTGTTATCGGAAGCAGTGGTCAATGTACAATTGATAGGGGGACAACTACTTGTGTGACCCACAAATAATTTTTTCGCATCTGGGGATTTGTCCGCGTTAAATTTATGTTTGTAAAAAGTCTTTACAACACGGGATAAAGTTATCCTAAAGTGAGGGCAATGTTTAAAAAAGACCGCATTTTTCGATGACGTCACATCTCGTCTCGGTCTATATTTATGCAAAGATATAATCTTTGGCGGTACAATTCGTGCATTCCCTTGGTAGTCAACATAACGGTACCAATCTGTGAACTTTTTCTCATACTAATGCATACGAGATTGAATCAGCAGTGACTGGCTTTGGTTGTCACGTGAGACAATGATTAGCGCTGAGTTTTAAATGGATGCGATGCTGTTTTTTTTTCGCAGCAGTCTTTACAAAGACTAAATACGAGGAAACTGTTCTGTGACTTTACTAGAAACGACTCCGTCCTCGAAGAATATTATTTTCCAATTATTAATATAGTAAGATACGAGTTTATTGTTTTATTTCTACAATTTTATTGGTATCGAATAAAAAGCAAACAAAAAAAAATAAGCAGTCATGGGGATTGCCGACAGAAGACTTAAAGTTAAAGAAACTGTGGTAAGAATAAAAAAATTATAAAAACTTAATTAAAATTATAAAATGTTTAAATGCGCAACAAATCAACTAGAAATTTGTTTTACAAACATCAAATATTGGGAAAACAAAATTATCAAAATTCCAAAGGTCGTCAGCATCAATAACAAAAGACATTATAGCATGTCGGTGTTGCAAACCTATGACTTTTCCCCCGTCCAAAGTTGCCCAACGTGTGTATAGATGTGTTTACTTTATAAAAATGGCAATAAAAATTAGTGTCATACAGGATTGTTTCAATTTCATGTTTCAATTTTTAGCAAGTACATTGTTCTATACAATAAAGTTTTACATACTTGGTGGAATTCAAAAACAAATATCACTATCTATATTCCAAACGGGTGCTTTAATTTAAATATTTCCAGACACAATTACGGTGGATTTCTTGCCTAGACGGTTCCATGTAACTTGCAATCGATTTCCTTCTAACGATCTAAATAATGGCATCGCTTAAGCGGACTTCTGCCCGTGTGTGTGTGCGGCGTGTGTACACGGCGTTCGTGTTCGGATGCGAGTGTGTGCGTCAGTTAAGCAACGAGGCGGAGGCACGCTAGCGAATTCCACAGTTCAAAGTTGCGCGCCCGCGCGGGCCCCGGTCGTTGACCCGTGCGCGCGCGCCATGCCGTCTACCGCGTTATGCAACGCGACCTTAACATTGGGCTGTGGGAAGCGGGACCCTATTCCGAATGTTACGGCCGCGCGCTTGACGACGGACGACGTTTTATTTCGCTCGTGACACTAAAAATATCAACGTCAACGTTTTAGGTCCGCGAACGTAACGGTGATTCATTCGGAAATTATTTCGCAAGAGTTCGGCATAACCTCAATGTTATGTATGTTACGGGCGAAAGTTTGTCGTTCGCGCTACGCACGTTCAATTTTTGGGAACAATATACATAGGGTTACTGGTAACAGCTAGAAAGTTCTTTTGAACCTACTCATAATATGCAAGAAACATATATCAAACAAGATTTAAAGCGCAGTTTCACCGTGCGTTATTTTTTACTAATTGAAATATTAGTCTTTAGGGGGATATTTTTATTTTTATTGTATTGTTTTATTTTATGAAATATTTACAATTTTAATTCATTAGCAATTTTACTGATTTTTTTCATAGAGAAGGAAACTGAATAAGCAGCTCAGCTCATGGTAAATGAGGACTGCTTCGCACATCGACCGCTAAAATGGAGCCCCCTACATTTCGCAAAAGTACAAATACTTTTACCGTACTTCATTGATGAAGTTCGTGCACCAACTGGCTATGTAAACTATTGCGCTCCGCCATGGCAATATTTCGCTGATTATGATGATTCATGACGCATTATCAAAAATCAACGTCTCAATGTCGACAACTTCCGACGATCGACAGTAAACAGGACAGCGGGAAAGCAAAATAACAAACAACACGCTAATGTGCATAATAACGGCCGGCGAAATGAAAACATCCAACGTCGCCACCGTGACGCAAATAATTCGCCCGTGGAATGTACGAGAGAGATCGATGAAAAAGTGCATTAATAAGCGATAGACGGGGGAAAAACTGGCGGCTGGTGGCGTCACGATGGTTGATCATGGCATTTACGGTTTGCTGGCCAACACATATGGCGTTAGTGAGTTGCTTAAGCCTTTTTTGCCTGGAAATTGCCTTCTTTAATATTAAACTCAATACGCAACCTCATTCCTGTCTTATGCGCATGCAGTTGCTGCCAGTTATTCAGCAGTCTTGAACGCCAGGTTGTTGGAACGCAAACAGTAGTGGAGGGAGGGGAGTGTCGGTATTGTGATCCGACGTTCACTACTCTCCGCGGCCGAAACGTGGTAACCGGCGGAGGCACAGACTAGGTCTGCCGCTGCGGGCTGGGAGGCTTTTGCCGCTTATCAAGAATGGCTCGGCCGGTTCCCATGGCTCCTGGGCCTGGGGTTAGGGGCCGAGTAGGAACGCGCGCTAAATGTTCCAGAGTGCCTTACCTGGAGGAAAGGGGAGTTGTCTCCTCAGGAGAGGCTTCTGAAGCGGCCAGCTTTGGCAGGGTCTCGGAAGTGTGAGAAAGCGTTCCATTTGCCCTGCCGATATGCGGCCGTGGGGGTCCGAGGCGGTGCAAGTCCGACAAACCCCTCCTTGCCCCCGAGAATCCTTCCCCCACATTAAAAAGTGGAACGTTCTACGTCCCTTGACCCTACATAGAATCAACTGATGGGTACCCACCCTTGATTGAATAGGGTCACTAAACTATTAGTTAATTTTCAGCTTCACTTAATGCAACACTTTCGCAAACTATCAGCAGTTTCATGCGTTAGAGGGAACACACCGAGCACGATGATTTTAATTTCATTCAACATATTAAGTTTTAAGTTGTTAACGTGTTAAGTTTTAATCATTTTTATTACGTATATAGTTTTTGAACTCACTAATGACATTTTATTAAGAATGAACTATCACCAATGAATTCACAAATTATGTTTTCCTTCATATCTATAAGATTTATTTTCATTAGCAATGTTTGTAAGTCGAAACAAAAAAAAAACAATTATGGGGATAATTAAAACTAAGAAAGTTTACTCGTCTCTCAAGGTTTGTAAGATAAATAGTTCCTATTTCTGGTTTAGTTTTACAACTTCAATGTATATGAACAATAACTACCTTCAAACCTGCAACATAAACAACCCGACTCTTCAATTTAGTTACGTTATACCCTCAAATACGCTTCACAGAGAGTTAAAAACCAAGAAATCTTGCTCCACACTACGAGTAACTTTGAACAACAAAATAGCTCAGAGCTCTCCAATACGTCCTAACTTTTATTTTCGTAGAGAACTTAAAGTGACCATAACACGTTTGGAGCTTTCTGTACGTCGCCGCTTATTCTACGAAATAACGCAAAATGTGTTACAAAGTTATAAAGCAGAATGCACACTCGCTGACATACAGTTCAGTTTTCGAGTAGTAAATGTGACATAAAATTCGAGTTGGACATAGCTTCAATTTTGTTATAATAGTAATAGTAATTTTATCTATAGTTGTGAATTAAATGTTAAAAAAAATCGGCCAAGTGCGAGTTTGAGTCGGTTACGAAGGGTTCCGTACCATCATCTATAAACATTTCAATAAAATCAGTCTGTTGTATTCCCATACCGTCCCCACTTAAATTGTTTTATTCTGTTTTTTTTTTCAGTATTTGTTGTTATAGCGGCAACAGAATTACATCACCTGGGAAAATTCCAACTGTCTATCACGGTTCATGAGATACAGCCTGGTAACAGACGAACAGACAGACAGTCAGCGGAGTCTTAGTAATAGGGTCCCGTTTTACCCTTACGGAACCCTAAAAAGGTTCTCGAGTGGCTGCCCCGTATTGGCCATCGCAGTGTAGTAAGACCCCCTGATGGAGTGACCTGCTGGACAGTAAATGCGCGGGATGTCGATGCTGGTGGCTCAGGATCATTCATTCATCAGGATCTTGGTTAGACAGGCTGATGCTGATGGTGTCTAGCCACGAAAGACTGTGTTATGTCACCACAATTGGCTCAGTGATACCAGATCTATTTTACGTGTAGCCGTAAAACGCCTCTACCATATAGCACAATGGCATTTTTACAGAGTACAATAAAGTGAAATAACAGCATGTCTGGGACATATACATGCTGTTATTTATTTCGTTTCGTTTCATCATAGTTATATCGGTGGGCAAACGCCTTTGATAATATTTAAATGTAATACTCGGAGTAACATTAATGATAAAAAAAGGATAGAGAACATCGTATACATCAAAGTAATATCGAATTATGTTTCTAAGAACAGACAAATTGTTAATACGATTAGGTTGCACGAAGGGAGGAACCAAGTAACTCACCGATAGGCTACATTCGTATCAGTATTGTGTAAATTTCTATTCGAGAAATATGTAGGGCGGAAAAAGCAACCTTTAATTTTTTTTATTTTAACAGTCTTTATATCATGGTCTTATTTTTTTAAAGACAAAAAATTGAGTTACACGGGAATAGATCTGACGTCTTACCAAAATAGCTTTAGTTTCGCATTACTAACTCGTAAAGCACGTAAGCACTGGAACAAGGAAGCTCTAGTCAGCACTTCGGATAACAGTTAATAATTTCGTTAGTGCCGACACTGAGATTTGTACTACGATTGCTAAGGTACTATAAAGTTATGACGGGCGTTCAAGACATGAGGTATAAGTTATTTTCACAAGACAAACGAACATTTTGGCGATATTATTTGTAAACGATGAAGTATTCATTTGGATTCATCGCGGTAAACATTTACTTAACTGTATACATCTGTCTTGTTGTCGTATTTGAATTAAGATAAGTAGATAGCGTTTCAATGTGTCAATAATCACCGCGGAACATTATATAAGTTGCGACACGTCAACTCTCGTTCAAAAGAGAAGACTGGTTGCACGTATACCAAACAAGCTGAAACCACCGCGCCTGCGCAGCGCCGGTGTCGAATTAAAAACGGAATTTGTTATAAGTATTGTTAATAATTTAATGCAATACGTCGCCTCGCCCGGTGAAACGGGACCGTCCGTTGACCGCGCCGCGTTTTCGCTACTGAAATGAACACGTCACAAACAGAATAGGTTATCCAGATTAACACTGGAAAGGGTTAGGCAAATGTTGGCGTGATGGACGCAGAAAGAGTGAATAAGTTTTCGAAATTATAATAACTCCTAAAGTAGGGTGCATTAATAAACACGTTAATGGATTTGAGCGAGATTTTAACTACGACATATGGGCACGATGATGAGGTAGGCTGAAATGATGATGACGATGATGATGAATGAGGTAGGTGAGCAATAAGGTTTTACTTTTGTTACGTTTAGAACGGATTGTTTGTTTGCCAACGTCGATAACGAAATTGTAGTTCTTTAAGTAAGAGGTAAACTCTTGTTAGCGCTCGTTAGTTGCGGGATTTGTTCACTTGTCTGCCTTCTTGCTCCAATAGTTATTGTATCAACTAAGCAGTGAAGAATCAGACAAGTCGTGAGAATTAGGTAAAGCAGAGGACAAATAAATGTATTGCGTAAACAAAAGCAGACACCCACGCTTCTCTACAATAAAATAAATATTTTTGTTAATCACACCATTCTTAATTTAAATATATTGAAAATTATTTTCTACTTTTAGTTCTTAATAAACAAAAGCTAGTGTTGTTTAGTATTTTTAAGCTATTATTAATTTTCTAAGAGCCGTGATAGCTCAGTGTCCGGGCGCTCGCCTTTAATTCAATATACTCGAGCAACCTCAGTTCGATCCCCGGTGCCGGCACCAATGAAGTTTTTAACTTTAAGTGCTGACTTATCACGTGCTCCGCGGTGAAGGAAAACATCGTGAGGAAACCTGCATATTTTCGAAATAAAAAAAAAATATTTTTCGAAGATATGTGAAGTCCGCCAATCCGCAGTGGGGCCGCGTGGTGGACTATGCCCTGATACCCTCTGTATAGAGGAGGCCTTTGCCCAGCAGTGGGACATGTATAGGCTGTTACTTTACTTTTTTTATTAATTTTCTATTTTTTTAGTTCTGATATCTAAAAAAAGCATGCTGTAAACATTTTTTGGACATGGATTTGGAAAATCGTTAATCATGAACGTCCTAATTTTGATAATGGGGACAAACTATTTAAATTATTAAATTGTCATTGATCCTTGATAAGTGAGCAAAGTCTCAATTTAAATCGACGTTGAAATGGGTCCAAATCACGTTCGGTAATTC